TTAGATTTGAGAGCTTTATTATACTCTCTCCAAATGTTCTAACTCCACAATGTTTATCTCCAAATCTCTGGTGATGTCACATGTAACATTGAGACTGTGCTTTATCAGCAGTTTTATCTGAATTTTTCATTAGCACCACCACTGCTGCAGGCATGTTAAATATCACCTCCATCCAAAACAGTCCAAAAACAACTCAGAGTCACCTTAAAACTATAATTATAATAAAACTGGCTGAAGCTCTCTTATGTAAAATATTTCTAATAAAAACATTTCCTAAAACCAATGAATCATCTACAAAACCTACTGGTTTTAAACATATTAAAATGGTGTTTAAAACAATAAAACCAGTCAAGGTGAGCGAGTGAAAAGCATTTTGTTTCATGTGGTAACATGTATACTGCCTGGAGCCTGCATGCTACCTTCATACATCCACCAGGCCATGAGACGAGAACAGTTGCCACAGAGCGCTGAGCTGCTATGTGCGGCTCTGAATGATTAAGGTCTAAAAGTTTGTTTTCAAATCCTATGAAAACAAACTTTTCCCAATCTTTCCCCAATAAAAAAAAAATGCTATCTCTCTGCATTGGTGCCAGGAGCATAAATATTAATAAAAATTGAATGATCAAAACTGGCTCTGACCACAAGGCACCTTCCCGGTACTAAATGTTCTATTTCTGCTAGAGGTGGGCTGATCGATCCTAGTATCGATACTATTGATACCAACTTTGGTATTGATATCGAACAATATTGGTTAAACAAGGTCGATACTTTTTCTTCTCTCCTGCACGCACTCATTGCAGCAGATTGACCAGTCTGCCCGCCTGTGTTAAATCGCTTTGCTGCTCCCCCATCCCCTCTCGTCAGCGGCTCAGCACGCAGGCTCAGCATGTCCCCGCCCACTCGGCTCACTTAACACATACAATTGTACTGCTGCTCTGCAGTGGAGCAGAAAAACATGATGAAGCAAAGAAGCTGCATTTGACTATATTTTAATAATGTACATGAAACAATAGCAAGCTGTATGGTTCGTAAAAAGCCGATTACATGCAGTGAAAACACAACAAGTTTATATAAGCACATGAAAAACCAGCATGAGCAAGAAAACTTCGAGCTACAGAAACAGAGAGAGGAGACAAAACTTTGCTCATTGTCCCAATAAAAACATAAAGCTTAAAAAGTTTTGGTATCATATTGATATCGGCGATACTGACCCTGTATTTACTTGGTATCATATAGATTAAAAATTACCGGTATCGCCCACCTCTAATTTCTACAGAGCTTGGGATGAAGGCTTTTGAAAAAAGAAAAGCACTATGGGAACTGTCATGGCTCAAAATAATTCCCTTCACACACCCCCACCACTCAACAAGACATATTCAAAATCTTTCAGCCTAACATTAAAGCGCACATTAAATTCCTTATCTCGCCAATTGAGTACCACGTAGAGCTGAGGAGACACAGCATGTTTCAAAAATGGTGATTTACACCCAGAAAGAACTGTTTTAATAGGAAATCCCACCTTCACATATCTGGATAAACAGAGGGACATTTGACAAAGTAATGAATATTGCTGGTAATGAAAGCAGTAACACCTGCACGAACAAACCAATGACTGGAATTCCAGATTCCACTTTTTCAACAAACAATACAACAGCTCCACTCATGCAACTGTGGACTAAATGGACCCATGTCCAATAACTGCTGCTACCGCCAAAAAACATTTCCTGCACCCAGCATGGAGAACAGAGAGAGAGAGAGAGAATTAATCCTGTACCCTGTAACACGTGTGAGAGCATGCAGAAACCCATTTCTCCTCGTGCACACTTTGTATAAAAGTTGCTCTTGGCATCACTCATACAAGCTTGCTTTCCAAAAGATTTGCAATTTTTCCACTTTTTCAGAAATATCTCATTCATATTTCAATCCGTTTTCTTATCAGCATGCGAGAGGGGGGGTAATTCTCAGCAGGCAGGTATTTCTCAGCATAACACAGGTGAAAATGGGGAGGAGCGCGTAGGATGGCCTTACATAAACATATCACCAGAATTACTGACAGTTAGGAGAACCACTTTTTTTGATGATCTACCCAGAAAATTATCATCCTCCACCGCACCTTTAACAGTAAAAACTTAAAACGTACATCATACACACAGCAGCTGAAGTTAATCAACAAGTATCATAGTTACTACTTCCGATTGTGTCATGTGTTTTACTTTTAATTCTACAATTTGTATTATCCATATACAGTGAGAGCAATGAAAAATATCTGACAGCTCCTTTTTTGCTGTTGTAAGATTGTATTCTTCAGGTAATACACCCGTATTGTATGTCAAGTGGTTCAATGTCTGATTGCACTGCTGAAATTTTCATAACTCCAATTATTTAAATATCATGGAGACAACGTTCCATTTTACTGGGATTATCTTTCAGCAAGACGTTACTACAGTTTGATCGGTACAGTTTTCAGCTGGCAGTTAAGCAAAGTGACAACTTTTATCTTTTGACGGCCTAGTTACTTTCCATACAAAGAGGCCTATGGTTGAATGTTCTTTTTTATGCAAGTAAAAGAAATGTGCAATTAAACTTGACTAATATATACATTACCTGCATCATTGTATAAAATGTAAATACCTGCAGTGTTTCCTTAATCAAGCATCTTAACTGCATTTCCACAGATTGCTTGATGTGCTGTCACTTTTATCAAGTGGGAATGCTTATGCATTCCCACTTATTGTTTTTCTGTTTTTCTTTATTATCAAGTGGGAATGCTTATGCATTCCCACTTATTGTTGTTCACTTAAAATTTTTCTGACTCTAACTAGTCCCGCAGTTTTCAACCGATTTCAACAATTTTGGTATCAAAACGCTCAGCTTGTTCAGGAGAATTGTGCTATGTCTTTTGGTAAAGATATTTTTTGTAGTTTTCGCAATATTCTGCTTTTTCTGCGTTTTTTTTGTCCCATTGAAATGCATGTAGAATTCTTAGATTTCAGCTAAATTCAGCTAAAACTTTATCATCTTCGACCTTTAACTACTTCAGCATACTTTCAGCTAGAAACACCATTCAACTTTTAAAATGTTTCCGTATCTTTCTGCTATTACTGTTTAACTCAGCTTTTTGCTAACTTTTACAGTTTTGCTTCAGTGAAGCTTCAAACTTTTAAAGAAAATTTTAAAGATTTTCAGATTTATAATGGAAGTCTATGGACGGAATTCTTCAACTGCTAGAGTGCGTGCTCTAGCTTTTGAGCTGTTCTGGTTTTTCCGAACAAATTCTTCTCACTCTCTCATTTTTCACTCAATTGAAATAAATTATACATCAAAATGTAGGGATTTTTGTCAGGATTCAGGAAATGTAACCCTCATTTGTGTGGCATTTACAGTTTTCCGACAGTTTGGCCCAGACCACGAAGAAGTCCACACTTCCCCAATAGAAATCCAATGAGAGACTTTCCAAAGATCACAGACAAAATCCAAAACGATACATATTTTCATATTGCTCCCATTTCTTAACTATTTGATGTACTAACATGAAACTTGCTATAGAACATCTTCAGAACCTTCTAGCACTCACATTGAAGGAATTTCTTCAATATCATTTATGGTTTAGCTGTTTAGCTAACTTGTTCGTGCATAGGAAAACGTTGATTCTGAGAAAAATCCTCAAACTCAGAAAATGCACATTTTTACATCATCACTGTGGCCAAATAGTTTTTAGTAGAAACATGAAAGTTGGCACAGTCGAAGCTGAAGGATGGCTGATGTCCACGGTGAAAAATTTTTTTGAATACCTTTTACGGTTTTGGCTCACCACTCGTTTGTTTGGAGGGGAAGTTTTGCTTTTGACAGCTCACCTCTACCATGGAACTCCATGTTATTTAATGAGACCAGCAGGATTTACAAACCTTTATATTTCTCCTTCCCATTAAGGTTGTGAATGAGCTACAGCCATGAAAGTTACCCCAATTGGAGACAAAGGATAGCTGTCGCTTAGACTGAAATAATTTTTTAGATAACATTTACGGTTTGTCTTCAGCACTCGTTTGTTCGGAGCTGATATTCCCATTCAAAAAAGCCTGAGAGGAAAGGAACGAAAGAAAGTGAAGCGTGTTTCACTGACAGGCTCGTTAAGCGTTATATTAAGACCCTTCTAGCACCCACATTTAAGACATTTTTTGATATCATGTATGGTTTGGCTGTGCAGCTTTTAAGATAAGTTTGTTTCTGCCATTTTACTGCCAAATGATTCTACCCTACAAAATCTTCAGATGATTCAATTATTTTCTGCAGTTTGAAGCTTCTGATGACTTCCTTTCACATTTTCATATGTTCCTCAGCTAATTTGTGCTTCTTTTTCTTCTCACAGTTTCTTTAGCTAATTTTTCTCTTTTCATTCAGCAAAAAAAGCATTCCCACTTTGCTGTTTCTCCGAAACAGCTTTTTCTAGTTTATACAGTTTTTTTGTATACATTGTATTCTTCTGGTAATACACCCTTAGAATTATAAATTAATCAAAGAAAAGGTGGAAAAAGTTTGTTCTACACAACTGTAATGACTTCATCCAAGAGAAACACAATCTTAAAACATCAATTTGCTTTTAAATGCTTACAACCTCTCACCTAAACTATCCTGCTACTAGATAATAAGCATTGTATTACTGTTATTTAACGCCTAATGCTTTGAACTTGACCCCCGGCATTGGGACCCCTGCTGTAGAAAATGAAAAGAATGCTATTTTTTTTCCGAAAAGCTATATCTTTGCAAAGTACTTTAGGCATGGGTGTTAGGAAATTGCACAATAAACAGAATAAGAAGATTAAAGCCTAATTTACTTCAATGTATGCCTGATACAAGTGTCCTCTCATACAGCACGTTAGACCAAATTGAATACTTTTGATTATATGTAAATTTTAAAAACTGTCACTATCTCTTTGCAGACACTTAGAATGCACTTTACATATTACTGTTTAAAGAAGAATATAATCTGATCTTCTATAGTATTGCTCAGGCTATATAAAAATACCCTTTCCACTCTTGTCCGCTGCGGCATCTCAAGAAGGAGGGTTGGGTCTTCACAGAAATACTTCACAGGAGAATTTCCTCAAAGGTACAGTAGTGAAAAATAAATATTCAATAATACAGTTTCCTCAGTCTCTCACATTTATGAAGACTTACAAATGACAAAAACATTATGAAATGTGGGAAACAATATATTCTGAACAGATCCAGCATTTTAAATTTTTTACTTTTTATTTTATTTCAACAGTGGGATTTAGCCTCTTCTCGGTGGTACGTATATTTATTTATTTCCAAAATAACAAAATACAATTCAATAATTCTGCCTAACTTAACAGTTTTATCCTATCATTTCCTTGAAGGTGTTTTGTGTCTTTTTGAAATGAAGTTTCTATTCCTGTCAATTTTTTTTCTTCATCTTTTGATTACAACCCTAACAAAGGATGAGGTAAGGATGTCTAGTTTGTAAATCAGACCAGATCTATTGACAAAAGAGTATTTATAAAACAATATGACAGAAGCATTGTTTAAAAAAATTGTTTATTTAAGATTTTGAATCATTATCCATCATAACAACTGCAAGTTTTGTTCCTTAAAGTAATCCAATTGGCTTCTTAATGAAAGTTAATACTGTCATAAGAATAATGCAATATTGTTTAATTTGTCATAGTTACAGCAGAAAGCTTAGAAAAGCTCTGCTTTACAAATGGTTTTTGTTGTGCCAAGCAATCTAGTAAAAAAAAAAAAAGAAAAACTTCTTTAAAATAAGATAGATATAGAACAGCATGTGGCTGTTCTGTTGTACATTAAGTATTATCTGTTTTTCTGCAGTATGAATTCGGTGATATCATTGAATTCCCCAGAAAAAAATGTGGTATTACATACAAGCACTTTGCTTTGTATGTGGATGATGAGTACCCTGGCAAAGGTGACATAATACATCGCACAGGCAACAGTAAGTATTAAACTGAAAGAAAAGTCACAGAAAATATCTGTATAATCAAAACTGTTTAGAAAGCTGGTTAACACATTTCAGAGACAAAAAAAACAAGTCAAGCTTTTTTGAAAATTAAAATGACTATAGAGATTCCAGTAAAAAAAAAAAAAAAAAAAATTGTATCTACTGACAAATTAAGTAGATAATGCATGAAGCCAAGAATGGCATGCCATGTTGTACTTGGTACCCCGATTTTCAGCTGTTTACATTTTGTTTTCAGTTTCTCAATTAATTCAAAGGTTTGGATTCATTAAGGAGATTTAATTCGTTTTAATTCATTTACAAATAAAAATAGATTTTTCTAATATTTATTCTTTTCATTTTGACAGAAAAATCCAAAGAAAATGATAGGAGTAATGATATTGGTTATGGCAACCTTGAAGCCGAAGGACCGAATAACAAAATGAAACTTCCGAAGGACTCTCCTGAACTTAACAAGGAGGAAATCAAAAAACGTATTGAACTGGTGCTTAATCACCCTACGGACTACAGCTTACGACATAACAACTGTGAACACTTTGCTACCTATCTGCGATTTGGTGTAGGTGTTTCAAATCAGGTATGTGGGAAATAAAAGAGTTAAATGCTTTGCCATTTAATTTTTTTAAATAAGTTGCCACTTTTCATAAATTATAACCAAGTAGCATTACTTTACAGGAGAAATGGAAATAAATTTAAATTTGAATAAATTTGTTTTTTTTAATTTTCTCAAAGTATAGCCCTCTGTTCAATGTTGTTGTAAAATTCCACAAGAGCTTTCTCAGTTTATTAGCATTTTATAAGTTGCTTCTTTTTATTCCCAAAAGGCCACGGACTGCTAAATTTACTTAACAAAACATGTAATTTGTTTGTAATGTGCATTTGTCAGATGCTTGTGTTCAAAGCCATTTACAAATGATGATTTAACAATGCTTCGAATTATCTGGTTTACTTTCCACTACAACTTCTTTATATTTGCAAAGCAGTCTTTTTTTAAACTGTCTTATTCAGTTTAAAAATGTGATTCTTACATGTTCTTTCACTATTTCTATTCAATGAAATACAGTCTGTTATTTTCACAGGATGGCACTGTTGCCAGGCATGCAATTAAACGCTGTAGAAACAATTTAATCGGGGAAGAAATGAAGAAACATGAAGACATAGAAAGAAGTGATTGTTCAGGACCCTCTAATGCTGTTGCAGGTTAAAACTGAGTTTTCTGAGCAGAAATTCTAAGTTCTGTTTACATATGATGAAAATTAAATTCAAGCACTTAGCAAAACCTGTTTCATTGTGTGTTCTTTAGAGCAATTATATTGTTTCACAGTAGTTTACAGGCTAAGCCCAATATATTTGCTTATACAACTGTACCATGCTACGAATAAGCATCTGCTGCTATTGTTTTAAAAATAAAGCTAGCTTTCCTGCACTATAAAGACAGCAAGAAAAAATGTCTTGCAGATATAGAAAATGTATGATATAAAAGAATTATAGATAATCAAATGCACAAAAAACAATACAATTTAGAAAGTTACTAAGCTTTTTTATTTTATAAGATATTCTAAAATGAGCAACAAAGTCATAGATAACATAGTTAACTAATGGGTCAGAATTACCTTAAGCAATCTATGAAATAGCCCTATATACTGAGATGATTCAAAAGCACAATGGTCACATTGTGTTTCATTTTTTAATAGTCATTGAAATGTACACTTTTTCAATGCAACTGCATAATAGGTTAAATAGAAAGATATTGAGGTTGTTTTCTTAGTACTTAAAGGATTATTCAAATTTGGTCGTCAATATCTAAAAAAAAAATCAACTGACTTACTTTCTAGTTTAGCTAAATAGAAAGAAATCAAAAGTAAATAAAGATACAGCATATGACATCAGAATTTAAACGTCATTTGAAAATCAGTTATTCGACGAGAAATCAAAGATATTCATCAGAAAAATTTGTATAATCTTTTATAAACTTCACAAATGCGGACAAGAGCTACCGTGATGACCTCTCTTGTGGTAAATAGTTACAGATAAGAGTAATAAAAGTTTCAAGCATGGCTGTAGCAACATGTCAGACAGAAGAAGATAACTGTGGTAGTAGATCTTGTAAGTATCGTAGTACAACCTAGTTTATAGTAAAGGCCATAGAAATTGATATATGGATGTGGCTGACACACAAAAAAAAGTAAAGAAAATTAGGATATTGTGAATTGAAAAATTCACAATATGAAATATATTAATTTTGACACACCCTCATAGGAAAGCTTTATTCTTTTAAGATGCTCATGGTGACCCGGATGAACTAGAGAGACATGTACAGACAAACAAACCTATCAATCATCTTTATATAATTGCACAATTTGTTTGCAAAAGGTACACTCCTTTCCAACCATGCATGCTTTAGTAATGCCATCTGTGGAGTGTGGGCATCTACAGATTGTGCTAAAGTGAACATAATTTTTCACCAGTATGTACTGACAGGTTGTAGCAACAGCTGAAGGTCCAGAGATAAAAAAAAAAAAAAAGAAAAAAAAAAAGAAAACCCAGACAGGATCAGAGACCGGGGCTCTGTTTTAGAAAGTGGGGTAAGTTAGAACCTAGTGTAGCACCCAACCCAAGTAGTTAGGCATTAACTCTGTATTAATGTTATGTACTGTAACTACTATAGGTGGGGCCCTGGTTACGTTACTTACAGCTAATATTGTTAAACAGGAGAAATAATAGTAAATAGTATTTTAAATGTATGTAGTAATTTAAAGTTTTTGATATTGACGGTGCCTCCACATAGCAGGATTTATATGCTACTCTGTATTAAAACCCACTAAGAATAATTAATTTATTTTTTAACCCCTTTTATCTTTCCTTTTTTTTATCCTTGAATGCAACCATTACTTTTAAATCTTGGTAAATAATTATGACACAACACAAATAAATTTAAATATATGGGTAAATTTTAGTAAAAACTTAAATTATGATTTGGGGAAAACAAATAAAATAAAAGAAAAAATATTGAAAAGAAAATGTCCAATTTTTTTTTAAGTGTCTAAGTACACTTACAATACTTCAGATAACTTCACAGACTCAAAATAACAATAATTTAGAAAATGATATTCTATAAATTTCTTCCCCTTAACCAGTCCAGATACGTAACCTATCTGAGCTCAGATTTAATAAACCGTTGCAGGCCTGGTTGTTGCTTGGGTTCGTTGGGACCAGAAAACAGAAAAAGGCCGCTTCACTTGTTGAACAAGCAGAAAATAAAATGTACGTGCTTACTCACGAAATCCTTTTGGAATAGGTACGAGATCTGATGGAGGTCAAGCCATGTCCATGCCAAACTGAAACTTTTCAATTTGGTTGGAGTTAGCTTCACACTCGAGACTTGGAAGTACACCTTGAAGAAACTGCGACAGCACTATCCACAGCAGAAGAGTCCAGAGAATTCCTCCCGGTCCATCATCAAAGGGTAAAATAGTCCAAAAACAGGAACGTATACTCTGCATCCACGGCTATTTTTTATGATTCTCCCCTCTGATGAGCAGCCTCCTCCGGCCGGCAAACCCAGTAACCCGAGCGGTATAATCTAGATCCCGCCCTCAATACATCTGATTGGATATTCAGTTTACATCATCCAATGTGATAAGAGAAATTACAAGATTGACAACTGAACAAGTCAGGTTGTAAACAAGATTCAAGGCAAACGAACTTAAGGCAACATTAACATTAGTATTCAACAAATAAATTGACAAAAAAAAACAAAAAACCTGTTGTTTGGATGTAAACTATTATTAACACTTTTTAATAATTGATTAACTTTTATTTATTGTTATTTCAAACAGATTTTAAATGCATTTTAACTCGATTTTTAATATATTTAACCTAGTAGTCTGAAACAGATTTTTTTTTAGACCAGGCTACATCCTCCCCCTTCTAAAAGGTTTAGATGTCATCATCTAACTCCAAGTTTAAACTTAGGTCCAGAGGGATGAGTCTTATAATGTTTAGAACATTTTAAAGGATTTGTTTCATCTCTAGTGTTACTGAGGTTGACTTGTATTACCATTCCTTGGTGCACAATTGTCACAGGTTCCTCAGTCTGTGTCCCAGGTTTGTCATAAGTCAAACGGATGACTGATTTCACTTCTCTCGCTGACTTTCTGGTTTTGGGACTTGTGCGAGTTATCAACTCCACTTCAGCATCTTCAGATGTATCACTGGCTTCTGGTTCTACAGTTGAAGGTTGACATTCCTCTTGTGAACTTTCAGATGGTCCTTCCTTAAACTCAGGTTCACTCTCAGGTGAGGAAGACTCTTCAGAGGAAACAGGTTGGACATCAGGTCTGCCTAGTATAGGTACATGTCTCCTGACATGGTCAGTGTTTTTGGTTTGATACTCATACGCATATTCATACTCAGATTCTGAGACTGAAGAAGCATCCGATTTTTGAGCATTTCGGTCACGTGTTTGACTTTGTAGAGCATGTTGTCGTCTAGTAACCGGTAGTCTGACTCTTTCAGGTGTTTCTAAGGTCTCTGAGATTCGGACGAGATAACCGATAGGTAGTAGATGATCTCTGTGTAGAGTTTTAACATTTCCAGTTCCTTGTTCTGATTTGACTTTGTATACCGGTAAGTTCGGTAACTTTTGAATTACAATGTATGGGGTTGATCTCCATCTGTCTTGTAGTTTGTGTTTACCAGTTAAACCAACGTTTCTTATCAGTACCCTGTCTCCTTCTTGCAAGGGTTGGTCTCGTACTCTTTGGTCATAACGGGACTTGTTTCTCCGGTGGTTCTTTGTTGCACTCTCGGTAGCTAGATGGTAAGCTTGTTTTAGTTCTTTTCTCATTTTGTCAACGTACTGCAAGTGAGTTTTCTCTGAATCACTTTCAAGAACCGCATTGAATCAATCAGTCAATCGGCAACCTAGCATCGCGTCCAAACATTAAATAGTAGGGAGAGTATCCGGTAGATTAATTTTTCGTGCAGTTATACGCATGTATTAACTGACTAATATGTTGACTCCAGTTTTGTTTTTTGACATCCTCAAGAGTTCCAAGCATCGAAAGAAGCGTTTTGTTGAAACGTTCCGGTTGGGCATCCCCTTGTGGATGGTAAGGTGAGGTGCGTGATTTTCGGATACCAAGCATCAACAGAAGCTCTTTGATAAGGCGGCTTTCAAAGTCTCTGCCTTGATCTGAATGTATTCTGGCGGGCAGTCCGTAGTGAACAAAGTATTTCTCCCACAATACTTTTGCAACTGTGACTGACTTTTGATCCTTTGTAGGGAACGCTTGAGCGTACCTTGTGTAATGATCGGTTACTACTAGTACATTGGCAACTCCTTTGCTGTCTGGCTCTATTTGTAGAAAAACAATACAAACTAGATCTAAGGGGCCATTACTAGTGATTTGATTGAGTGGAGACGAACGTTGTGGTAGTGTTTTTCGGGTGATACAACGTCCACAAGTTTTTATATACTGTTCCACATCGGTGTTCATTCTAGGCCAGTAGAAACGATCTTTGAGCAACTCTGTCGTTTTCTCAATGCCTAAATGTCCACAGTCATCATGTAACGATCTCATTACACTTGTTCTGTATCTTTCCGGTAGAACAATTTGTTTATTCACTGTGCCACTGGGCATTTTTCTTTGTCGGTAAAGTATTTGGTTGTCCAACTCAAGTTTTGAGCTCTCTCGACATAACAATGTCACATTAGGTGGATAATTTTTGGATGGAATTAGCTGCTCTCCAGTTTGGATGGTTTGTTTAACTGGACCAATAATTGGGTCAAGATCTTGAGCAACTTGCAAGTATTTAGAAGTAAACTGCTCATACAAGGTTGCTTTCAGACTCACTGGAAAAACGTAAGCTTCCGGAATCACTGATGGAGGGACACCAAGTTGGTCTACTAGCTTAGTAGTTCCATTAATGGATTCCTTTTTACAGATGGCTTTTATGGCAGATTGTGGCACATCTAACCATTGTTCAGTTTCATTTGTGTACTGCCAGGATAATAGATCTGCGTCTACGTTGTGCGACCAGGGCGATACTGGATGTTGAAGTCATATGTAGCTAAAGCTGCAAGCCAACGATGTCCAACAGCATTTAGTTTTGCTGTTGTCAACACGTACGTTAAAGGATTGTTGTCTGTTCTAACTGTGAACTTAACTCCATATAGGTAGTCGTGGAATTTATCAACGACAGCCCACTTCAGTGCTAAGAACTCAAGTTGATGAACAGGATAGTTTCGTTCTGAGTCACTGAGTTTTCGACT